TTGACCAGTTCTCTCAGACCAGTACCTGGTCAGCGCCAGCAGCAGTGGGGACAAGCTGGTCGTTTCCAGCCTCAAGTCGACTCCTGTGCCGGTGGTGGAGCTGGCCGACGGGGTGAGTCTCAGCTCTTTAAAGACTGCAGAGGGGTAAAAGAAGAATAAAGCCTAAGACGTTATTGTTTGTCTCTGGGTCCAAATTCTCCTTCAGTTCCCAAAACACTGAGCTTTAGAAATATGATACCAGCTGTTCTCCCAGGTGTTTTAGTGAAGTTTAGGTTTCAGGGAAAAGAGCGAAACTAAAGATTTTAGTTACGCTGTGTAGTTTTAGAAAGCCGAGTCAGTCTGGTAAGTATCTCACTGAGAGCTCTTCGGCCTCTGTGAAGTGTAACGGTGCTGGTTTGTACCCGTGTTCAGAAAAAGCAGACCCGGGTGTGTCTCAGCTCCTCGTCTCAGTTTCTGGTCAGCGGAGGTCTCGATCACTGCGTGCACATCTGGGACCTGAAAACCAAGAGACTGCACCGCTCCCTCAAGGTAGGACCTCACACCACCTCCGGGTTCCTTTACCTCTGAGCGGGATAAACATGGCCTCCTTTTCTCTCAGGACCATAAGGAGGAGGTGACTTGCGTGTCCTTTAATGCCAACGACAGCTACGTCGCCTCCGGCTCCACCAGCGGCGACCTAGTCCTCCATAGTCTGACCACCAACCTATCCAGCAGGCCGTTCGGCCACGGCAGCAACCAGGTCAGACCTCCACTTTCATATCGTTTTTCTTTTAAAGATTTTCTTTGAAGCTGCTCATGTGCAGCCGCTCAGGTGAGCTGTGAGTTGGTGATATGACTGTAGTGAGGGAGCAGCCAAAAGGTGGAGGTGTGCTTTCAGTTTATTTACCTCACCTCATCACGTTATATAAAGTCTTTAATAAAAGAAGAACTCTGCAGGCTCAGAGTTAACCGGAGAGTGGAGGAGGGGCTCCGTTTTTATGCTTCACTCTGTTCAGTCTGTGTATGTAAAGACTGTAACTAAAGGACAGCAGAGGAATGTTTGGTATTACTGCTTGATAATCTGTTGATCTCCAGCCCATCCACGACCTGAGGTTGTCCACGGTGAAGCGCTCCCTGCTGGGCAGCGTGTCTGACAGCGGAACGGTGGTGCTGTGGGACTCCAACACCCAGAAGGAGCTGCACGTGTTCGACGGCGCCCACAAGGCCCCAGGCTCCGGCCTGGCCTTCTCGCCCACCAGCGACCTGCTGGTCGTCAGCGTCGGCCTGGACAAGAAGATCGTCTGCTACGACACCGCCAGCAAGATGTGAGTCCGATCGCTCTGTTCTGCACGTCCCTGCTCGGTCACAAGGCTGTCACGCCCTCTGTGGAGCTCCTGTTCCATAGAGGGCGCTCTCGAGCTCATTGAGAATGAGCTGGGCTCTGAGGAGGTGTAGTTTTTCACCTGTCTTCCTTTCAGGAGACAGCAGAAGACTTCTAGACTTTAAAATGAGTCTCATCGTGTTTTATCCTATGTTAATATAAAACTTTCTGTCCAGCAGTCCAGAACCAAAGCAAAGCATCAATAAGAAGGCAGCATGAGCTGAAGCCCACTCTTTGTCTGTGGATAAAATCTGTTCCACTTTGTGTTTAACGGCGTGTTCGTCTGCATCTCCAGCGTCCTGAGGTCCATCCGCGTGGACAGTCCTCTGACAGCTGTGGACTTCACTCTGGACGGTACTGGGCTGGTGGTCGGGTCCACTCACGGGAAGATCTACCAGTACGACCTGAGAAACTCCAGTTCCCCCACCAGGATCACAGTGGCCCATAAAACCTCAGTGACCTGCCTGCGCTTCCAGAGCAACGCCAGCAAACACAAGGTACTATCCTCGGGACTCTCAGACGGAAGATGGGAATGATATCAATTTTTCCTTCAGTGTGTCTAAACCTGCAGGGTTATTTTCTCTCTTTCTTGTCTCAGTCCAGTAAAATTGGCTCCTCAAAAACTTCCAGCTCTAAGAGATCCTCCACCAAGCTCCCCAGCAGCCAACCAGATCCCACCGCCAGCACAGGCCCTGCCCCCAACAGACAGGTGACAAACACAGGTGGGTTTCACGCCGTAGGTCACTGTGAACGCGAGTGTGCGCGTTTTGTTTTTCCCACACAGATAAATAAGGCAACTGTGAGCTTGAAGCTCCTGTGGCAGTGTGGCCAATCACGGTTGTCCTGTCTGATGATGATAAAGCCGTAATTACAGCACGTGTTCAGCAGGAGGCGCTGCTGTGGACGGGATGTGTCGGGAAGCTGAAGGCCAGCAGGGGACGGAGCAGTTCAGTAGCGTGGGACGAAACAGTCTGGACATCTTCTCTCCCGCTCGCGAAGGTCAGAGGCAGCCTGTGATTGGCTGAAATCCGATGCTGCATTCACTAACGTTGCCTTGTTTTTGTAAATCGCAGCGTTCTCTGTAGTCAAAGGAGCTTGCAAAGAAAAGCGTCTGGACTTCTTTAAGCTGCTTGAAGACGTTTCACCTCTCATCTGAGAAACGTCTTCAAGCAGCTTAAAGAAGTCCAGACGCTTTTCTTTGCAAGCTCCTTTGACTGCGATGACCTGGATGACTGAGAACCTTCACAGCCGTTCTCTGTTATCACCTCTAACTGAATCCATTTCAGTCGTGCCTCTCCTTCTTCTTCCAGACCCGCTCACCCACGGGACCACCGCGAACACCCCATTTGGACGAGGACAGGGTACGAGAGGTGGTCACCAGATGCATTTGAAGCGACGCTGCCGTCGGACCAATCCTGACGCTGTGTTTCTTTTTCCTTAGTTACCACTTCGGAGGTGATGTCTAGAGATGGGGAGGGTCAGCAGCTAACAGGCCGGGCCAGCCTGGACATCTTCTCTCCAGTCAGAGAAGGTCAGAGTTCAAGTTCAACGCCCATTTAAAATGCCTAAAGGTCCAGGTGAGGTCACCTGGAGGTTACAGAATGTCTGCACTGTGCTTTAGACTCTCACGCAGGTCCCAGCTCTCACAGGAAGACGCCACTGGGAACGCCGCTCGCAGCCTCGGCGGGGAGGTGCTACAGCCCGCTGTCAGTCTTCCAGACCCCTCCGGCTATCAAAGAGGAGGAGCCAAACACCGCTGTAGCTGGAGAACTGTGTGATGCCAGAAAGGTGATGACCTTGAACCTTTAACCTCTACACCTGTGACAACGCAGGTCCACCTAACTGAACTTTGATCTGTCTCAGTCTGACAAAGTCAGCTGTTCCAGTCTGGAGACACAGAGTCAGTCCACGCCCCCTATGTCACAGTCAGCCAATCACAGTCAGCTGGCCCCGCCCTTCTTCACGCCAGAGCCCAGTCTCCGGAGAGCCAATGGCATTCAGGCTCACCTGAGCTACGACTCACCTGTCCACGGAGCTCCACCCACCACATCTGCAGCAGCAGGTAGAGTCGGGCAGCAGCAGTTCTGAGGGTTCAATTCCCACTAAGGTCCGATATCACCGTGGTTAGTTCACTGTTTGTGGGACTCTGTAGGAATAGGCTTGTGAATTGGACGCTGAGTTCAGGGTCAGCTGCTTGTGTGGGAGATTCCGATGTTTCCTCTGCCTTCAGGTCCGGCTCTGTCGGCTGCCGTTTCCTCGTCTCTCTCTCAGAACATCGCCGACGTGGTTGGACAGGCCGGAGCTGCTCCCCTCACCTCCCTGCAGATCCACTTCATCCAGAACATGATCCACGAAACTCTGGAGGAGTTCAGGTCAGTCTGACCTCTGACCTCTCTTCAGAGAAAAATCAGCTAGCCTTTTTGTGGGGACTATTTTCAGAGGCGGGTTGATTTGGTGTTTTTGAGCTTTTATGGCAGCGGGACATGAACAAGCTTCTCCTCCTCAGGAACGCCTGTCACAAAGACATCATCAACCTCCAGGTGGAGATGATCCGACAGTTTTACATCCAGTTGGTACGACAGATTCGTCCGAGCTTTCCTCTGATGGTCAGATGTGACTTTCTGGTTTTTTATGATTCTGTGTTTGTGTTTCAGACTGAGATCCACAGTCTGATAGAGAAATACTCCGTCAACGAGTCTCTGGTGGAGGAGATCGAGAGGCTGAGGGAGGAGAACCGCCGGCTCAGGGCCAACTACTGACCGTCTGGAGCCTCGTTCTGGCTGCCTCCTCCCATCCTGAAGTCAGATGGTCCAACATGAACGTGTGTGTGTGTGTGTGTGTGTGTGTGTGTGTGTGTGTGTGTGTGTGTCTCAACACTTATGTACCCTGTTTTGTTGTAATTTAATGAATTTTGATGTCAAAGCCTGGAAGAGTTTGAAAGGCGGTCGGTTCACATGTGCCTGCATCATGTTTTAGTAAGAAGCTTTTGTCTGAAGAAGAATAAAAAGAAAAAGTTTACAGCCAATAAAAAATTACGTGTGTGTGTTTTCATGTACACAGAAATCAACCCGAATCTTTCTAAAACCTTTGGTGTGTTTATCACAGTGATCAGTAAGTTACACGGTGTGAGGCAGTATTTACGGTGATATGCGGTCGTAGTTTGTAGTGAAATGTGTGTTTGTTCTTTGGCTTTTCGCGGGCCGGCGGTTTGAGCGTGTCGGGGTGGGGTTACTCTCTGCGCGCTCACACTCTTTGGTTGTTTACCTGCTAGCCTGTGAGCGCGCAGCACGCTCACTAAGTTCAGACTTTTAGGTTTTCGTGCTCCGCGGCGATGAACCCGGAGCTCAGCGGGTTGTTTTAGACCAACAGCAGCGGGGGAAACTGACAGATTCACCGCGGGAACTTTAACCCTGCGTGACCTTTGACCCGCTCAGGCTCGGTTAGTTTATTGTCGGGTTTTTCTCTTTCAGCCGCTCAGAGCAAAGTTGGCTTCCTGCTAGCGCTGCTTACCTGACGTGAATCACCTGAAGGTGACGTTTCATTTGATCCACTTCACGCAGGAATTCAAACCCTGCAGCAAAACTGAGACCAACGAGCCTCAAACGTTCCTGTAAGTGTTTATAGTATTTATGACGTCACGAGCTGAGCGTTAAACGTGTTTTCAGTCTAATCTAACGCGCACCTGGCAGACAGGTGTGCGTTACATGTACTGCGATACTGCGTGTACTTTCTAACGTTATAGACCTGCAGGCAGAGACACGCGGAAACACAGTGTTACCTGCAGCAGGTGCCGGCGGCCACGCCCACTACAGATCACGTGCTGGTGTGCCAATTTTTGCACACCTGGATGAGCCGCTGTGGGTTATGTGCTAACCGCGAAGTGAACCAGGTCGCTCTCCACCAGACTCCATTCACAAAAGCTGGATTTTTACGTCACAGAAGGGCGGAGCTTTGCGTCTGCAGCGGCCTCGACTGGTCCGTTAGTTTGTGTTACGGAGCGACTCTGATGTTTTAGTGAGTTAGTTCGGATCACAAGAAAACACTGAAACAGTAAAGTCACGCAAAGTTGAATAGAAACTTCTTTTTTCTGTCAGGTGAAAATCCGCGTTTTTGTCAGTGGACTCTGGTGTAAGATCGGTTTCTTTGTTGGCCTCCCAAAAGCCATAAACGTCATCATCTAGTCCCAAACGTCATGGGAACAATAGGTTAGCAGGTACCTTCAAAATGTACTTTATTGTTATTATTAACATTTAATTATTAAACAGCTTTATTGTTGTTTATTTTTAAAGTTTTACTGTTACACTGGCGCCTGTAGTGCTTCGGCTGTCACAGATAAATGACAGGCCATCCGATCCGGAGCCGATGGCTTCAGATCTGACTGCGTCATTCAGCCTTAACGCTGTTTGTGATTCCTGTGAAGCGACTGATCTGGTTCGATGGTTCTTTTGTTGATTCGTCAGCAGAGCTGCAGTTTTCTTTGTGTTGCACATGGAATTGAATCCTCAGCAGTTACTGAGCGTGAGCAGCAGGTTAAACCTCTTTAATCTGAACTTTGCGTTTTTTCTGCCTTTCTCAGCTCGGACTGTCCTCCAGGACGATGGCCAACCCACTCAGGTCTGAAGTGTTTCGACTGTACAAGAACGTGAGTGTTGGGGAAATTCATTTTTAAAGAACTCGATGACCAAAGTTCCCTCTAATGTTCCACGTGTCTGAACACACAAACTCCCTGAGCGTCCCGTGGACCACTGTGAGCGACAGCAGACGTGTGCACTGTGGTCACGCCAGCATCCAAGTTACATGTTTATTAAAGTAATCAAATTACAGCATTTATGTCAGACTACTTTTAATTAACTGCTTTAGCCCACTTACAATGAAAACTTAAAAAATCTTGTTCATGTGCAGCATGTTAACACTATTGGAAGCAAAAATAACCTGAACTCCAATTTTGAAAACAACTTTATTTTTTATTTTTATTATTTTTGCTCTGACTGTATTGTGAGTCTGTGGTCTGGGAGAGAGTCTGTAACTCTGTCTGCAACATACAGTAAATAATGACCAATGTTGGGTAATTAATTATTTAGTTACTTCTTCAAAAAAGTAACTGAGTTATGGAAACAAAGTTTTGCAGCTGTTTACCTAAAAATGCAGCCAAGGTGTTTTTAAACAAACATTTCAAACTATTTACAGAACAATCAGCTGTTCTGCATCAAATTATTTGTGCCGCTCCAAAAATAATTTGTGTCCACTATGAGATGAAGGAGAACAACAGCCTGATACCTGCAGGCCTGACAGCAGCAGATGTGTCACTGCTGTAACACCTGCAACACTCAGCAGGCGCCTCATTGTTCTGACACACACAACAAAAACTACACTACACACTGACTACACACTAACTACACACTAACTACACACTGACTACACACTGACTACACTACACACTGACTGCACACTAACTACACACTAACTACGCAAGATTTGCGCTACACGTCTCAAATCTCTCACATCTCAAACACGCCGTCACTCCTAAAACTTCCTCCTTCCTAAACAACTAAATGCCATGTTGCCATATCATTCTTTGATTGGTCGACATGGTACATTCTTCCACCAATAGGAAAGGGCAGGGGGAGGGGTTTGATGTTGTCTTTGCTCACAGGCTTTCGAGCGTTTTCCTTATAAAACCCGTTTTTCCCGTTTCTTCCCGCAGTAAATATAAACAACGACAGTATTCAGGAAGAAAAACAAACATTGCAGATATTTTATCATAACTCTGGGTTTACGTGGCCGATCAACACAATTTAAAAACTGGTATAAAGTCCACACTTTGTCCGTCAGTTGTTCCGTCTGTGCTGCTCACGTCTCCAATGGTTGGACACGTTGTCATTAACGTGGCTTCACTCCACATCAGCCGCTTTGCTAAAACACCGCACCGCACATAAGGACGCTGTCAGAGCCTGTCAGCGACGCTGATTGGCTGCGTATACACGAATGTGAATCGCATCATTGGCTGGACTTTGGGATAAGGCGGCATCGTTCTGATCCCACACGGGAGCAGCCAGTCACTGACTCACACTGCAGAACAGGATTGTTAAAGTTTTAAATTTAATTTCAGTGCAGGTTCGATTTTTTTTGTGCGCAACGCAGATTTCCTGTGCAGAGACGTGCCAGCAGTGCGCAATTGCGCACGTGCGCAGCTTAGAGGGAACATTGTCGGAGACACGTTGTCCTCCAGCGATTCTAGATTTTCTGTTTTCACAGCTGTAAACGTCAGAATCGGGAGTTTGGATGATGAGACTTCAGGCGGCATCAGCAAAGACTCCATGATGATGTTGTTAACATTTATTGACAGTTAATTTACTTTTAAGATGATCCGTCGGTGCCACTGTGAGCCGTCGGAGGTGCGTAATGATGAGATGACCTCAAACAGATCTGAAGGCACAAAGCTGCCTCTCAAATCTCCCATCATGCAAAGCGGTGCTGAGCCCCACCAAAATGTTCAAGCTTCATGTTTATCTGTGAAGATGTCAGCAGTGTTTACAGAGGGCGCTGCAGCAAGTGTCGCCCCCTGCTGGGCATTAAAAGAATGCAACTGCGTGCACAACCTGTAGTGTCTGCACCAAAGCACTGAGGTCTTTATTCATCTGTCAGAATGACGCTGAAATGGTGTTCTGATATATTTAAAGCTTATTTATCGGATCGGGCTGAGATTATCTGCTCAGAAACACTCTGACGACACTTCATCATGTTTAGGGTGAAAAAGTGGACGTTTCAGTGGCAGAGCCGTCGTTACGCCGCGAACAACATCAGCAGAGAAAACCAACAATCAAACTCACAGCCCACCATCACAATATTTTAATAACATTAAAGCCCAAAACCCAGAAATCTAACACGCCTCCCTCTGTAGCCCCGCCCCTTTAACGGGTTCTGAGTGAAACCAGCTGCACACGTGACATAAGATGTGTTGTGGCCTGAGATGGTCACCACATTTTTCTTTGGTGAAACTAACTCAGTGAGTTTAGACAAACAGGCAGCAGGCGGCGCTTTCTTATTTCATGAATGCAAAAAATAAGATGCCCGCACTCGTGATCCCTCATGGTGAAGGTTTAAAGACTTCCTGTGTCCACCTCACGCAGGAGCTCCGCCCTCCTGAGTGAATTAGAAAGTAAGGTGAGACACTGTAACAATCAGTGTTTTTAAAGATTTTATGCATGAAGAAGCGTGTAGGATGGAGATCAGCGGCGCCTTTATGACCGCAGAGCTATCTGCAGATAAACCTTTGACCCTCTTTAGGAAAACACTTTCTGTTATCAGCTTTAGACTAAGATAAGGTCTCTGCAGGGAGCGCCGCTGAAGGAATTACAAAGCAAGACTATGTGACAAGATTTCAGATTCACCTTTTGTAAAGTGAATCACTAAAAGCGCTCGTGGATCCTCGGAGCGTTCCCGCTGCTCGTCCTGATAAAACACATTGGCCTCTGGAGGTGTGTCAGTCTAAGATCATCGTCCAGAGTGATTTTAAGACCTGTGCTGATTTTGAGATCATGTGATCATCATGTGCCGTCATACATCGGCCGCCTTTTTGCCCTTTAGTAAAAGTAAAGACATATTTTTGCTAACACATCCTCTTCCTCCTTGCAGCTCCTCTACCTCGGCCGGGAGTACCCCAAAGGTGGTGACTACTTCCGCGACCGTCTGAGAGCGGCGTTTGCCAGGAACAAGGCGGTGGAGGACCCCGAGCAAATAAAGGCCCTGATTGCTCGTGGCGAGTACGTGGCCCGGGAGCTGGAGGCGCTTTACTACCTGAGGAAGTACAGAGCGATGAAGAAGCGCTACTACGAGGACTAAACGGCGACCGAACGGTGACGACACGAACAGCTCTGAGGTTTACGGATCCAATCCTGAGGTCACATGACCACCGAGTGAAGCCTTTAAATTAAAGTATTCAAAACAAAAACAAGCGCGAGTCCTCCTTCCTTCCTTCCTTCCTTCCTTCCTTCCTGTCTGTTCCCATAGGAAACAGTAGAAGCAAGGTCAGAGGTCAGAGGTCGGGGGGGCGATGGCGTCTTTGTCGGCCAGGTTGACTCTGCAGATGGGACAGGTGGGGTTATCCTGGGGGGGAGGAAACAGAGTCAGGTGGCGTTCCGAGTTTGTCATCTCCGTATAACCAAGCACGGCGTTACCTTCAGCCACTGGTCGATACACTGGACGTGGTAGTCATGGAAACATGGCAGAATCCTCAGCTTCTCGCCGTCGCTGTAGTCGCAGACACAGATCTGACACCTGCCGGCCAATCAGCACAGAGACGTGTTAGCGTGCAGGTTTGGGGTTTGTTTGTTTTCAGCGTTACAAATGGCGAGCTCGGAGACTCACTGCGTGTTCCCGCCGCTGCCGCCGCATCCCTGGAACACCTTGGTGGGAAACCTCTGGATGTCCGTCGCGCTCAGCTGATTGGTCCTCACGGCGCCCTGACGCTCCTCGAGCTCCAGCAGAGACTGAAAGACGAGCAAAGGCGTCAACACTCTGACATCTGGGCCCTGATTGGTCCACGTTGAATACCTGCAGCGTCTAACTGTAAGAGCTTAACTGTAACACGAAGGAGGAACGTAAAGAAGAGATCACAAACCAAGTCTGAGATGAAACATTAAAGAAGAAGAAGAAGAAGAAGCTGCTGACACGAAGAAGAAGAAAGATCCAAATTCAAAAAACTTTTTGGAAAAAAAGCTCCAAAGACAAATTCTGACGGGATTTTTGTCCCTGAGTGAACAAAGTCTGCAGAATGATCGAAACTCCTCCCCCTCCTCGAGACCCCTCCCCCTCCTCCAGACTCCTCACCTCATAGTCGTTTCCTTCAGCGTCATCAGATGTGGCGTCCCTACTCCTGCCGTGACCAATCAGAACTGTGGAACGATCAGCAGAAGCAGACCAATTAAAGCTCTACAACAGTGTCATGCTGTCGTTTGATTGGTCAGGTTTCTACGCTGTCGTTTGATTGGTCAGGTTTCTACGCTGTCGTTTGATTGGTCAG